GAACCACGAACCTATCACGAGGCCGTAACCTCAACTGAGGGACCTCAGTGGCAAGAGGCCATAAAGAGTGAAGTTGATTCTATCCTTCAGAATCACACGTGGGAACTGGTTGATCTCCCTCCAGGGTGTAAGCCATTAGGTTCCAAATGGGTCTTTCGGAGGAAAATGAAGCCTGACGGCTCCATTGACAAGTACAAAGCTAGACTTGTGATCAAGGGATATAGCCAACGCGAGGGCTATGACTACTTTGATACTTACGCGCCTGTGACTAGGATAGATTCTATCAGAATGATCATCGCATTTGCATCCTTACGAAACTTGGATGTTTACCAAATGGATGTGAAGACAGCTTTTCTAAATGGCGAACTAGATGAAGAAATCTTAATGGAACAACCCGAAGGGTTTAAGGTCCCGGGCCAAGAAAAGAAGGTCTGCAAACTTGTGAAATCATTATACGGTCTTAAACAAGCGCCAAAAGTATGGCATGATAAGTTTGACGAAGTAATGATGAGCAACAGTTTTAAGATAAATGAGTCGGATAAGTGCGTATACTTTAAGGACACATCTGAAGGGTATGTCATTTTATGTCTGTACGTAGACGACATTCTCATCGTTGGAAGCAACGATAGGATGGTCAAGTCCACCAAGGACATGTTGAACGCACGATTCGATATGAAAGATTTAGGTCTGGCTGATGTGATTCTTGGAATCAAAATACTAAGAAGACCGGATGGTCTGAGCTTGAGCCAATCCCACTACATTGACAAGATCCTTGAGAAATTTAACAAGGATGATACAAAGATAGCTAAGACGCCGATAGACGTAAATGTTCATCTTGGTAAACACCGAGGGAGTAGCGATTCCCAGACAGAATACGCTAGAGTTATCGGAAGTCTGATGTACTTGATGAGCTGCACACGGCCAGACTTAGCTTGCGCCATTAGCGAACTAAGTAGGTATACTAGCAATCCGAGTGCTGAGCACTGGAAGGCCATAGTCCGAGTAATGAGATACCTTCGGTATACTCGAGATTATAGCCTATGCTACGGCAGGTATCTACCCGTACTGGAAGGATACACTGATGCCAATTGGATTGCGGATAATAAGGATTCAAAATCTAGAAGTGGATTTGTCTTTATGCTAGCCAGTGCAGCTGTTTCCTGGAAATCCTCAAAACAAACGTTAATTGCATTAGACAAGTGTGCAGAACATGCCGAATGGCTTCGGAATTTACTTGAGGATATTCCAAACTGGGAAAAACCAGTTCCTCCTATTTGCATTTATTGTGACTGTCAGTCAGCAATAGGAAGAGCTCAGAACAAATTATATAATGGTAAGTCTAGGCACATTCACCGTAGACACAAAACCATTTGGCAACTTCTCAATACGAGTATTATCTCGATTAACTATGTCAAGTCGAAGGATAATTTAGCGGATCCATTAACCAAAGGGTTAACCAATGAGCAACATGAGAAGTTAGTGGTAGGAATGGGTCTGAAAGCCCTACCCTGTGCTGGGAACGTTCCATGAAGGAAAACCCAACCTAGGTGGAACCTGGGTTCAATGGGACAACCTACTTGTGGAACGAAGCACGGTCACTGTGGGGGCAAGCCGGATCACCGACTTAACACCCCTCCGTTCCTACTGAGATATAGTGACTCCCGAAAACGATGAGGTTAGCATGACGCTTTAATGATTCTTGAACTATGGACAACGAGGTCCAAGTGGAGTAATCGGGATACTCTTAGAAGAATCACCTATGTAAGAGTGAAGTGCGGTCGCTTCAACAGAAGGATTTCGGGCTGATCCTGTCTGACACTCTCGCAGAACCAGATGCGTGTTCCACGACCATAATGGGCACACCCATGAGAACGGAATGATGGTTGGTTGAAACTTGNACTATGTCAAGTCGAAGGATAATTTAGCGGATCCATTAACCAAAGGGTTAACCAATGAGCAACATGAGAAGTTAGTGGTAGGAATGGGTCTGAAAGCCCTACCCTGTGCTGGGAACGTTCCATGAAGGAAAACCCAACCTAGGTGGAACCTGGGTTCAATGGGACAACCTACTTGTGGAACGAAGCACGGTCACTGTGGGGGCAAGCCGGATCACCGACTTAACACCCCTCCGTTCCTACTGAAATATAGTGACTCCCGAAAATGATGAGGTTAGCATGACACTTTAATGATTCTTGAACTATGGACAACGAGGTCCAAGTGGAGTAATCGGGATACTCTTAGAAGAATCACCTATGTAAGAGTGAAGTGCGGTCGCTTCAACAGAAGGATTTTGGGCTGATCCTGTCTGACACTCTCGCAGAACCAGATGCGTGTTCCACGACCATAATGGGCACACCCATGAGAACGGAATGATGGTTGGTTGAAACTTGTGTATTGTATATCGTCGTTTACATAAACGGCAGTACAGTTCAAAGACATCACGTTCTACTGAACAGCGAGTAGAGAAGGTATACTTTACAAGGAGTAGGTTCAAAGGCATAAAACCTACCTACTCTTGCAGGTTTCAACTTCAGAGTTATTGCTAGTTACATGAATTAATTTTCATTCATGTGGGGGATTGTTGGAAATTTAAGTAAATTGGACATTTTCGGACATAAATTTAATAGGGTCCACAAAATTATTTTTCCAAAATAATTATGGACGATTAATCTCGTAAGTAAGATGAACGTCTTGACATATGACACGTCATAAACGATGCTCGGGTGAATGAAAAATTAATTCTCAAAGTTGAATACTAAGGTAGAGTAAATGCCTTTGTCCCACACCAGTTTCTAAACCTTTCGTATTCTCATATTTAAGCTTAGACATTGAATTGAGCTTATGAAAGGAACAAGAAGAGGGAATTAAACATGTGTACACTTCGTTAACGAAGTGTATGGAGGCATGCATGCACTACGTATGAAGAGTCATTCGACTCTTCGTAATCTCCGATGTCCAGCAAAGGGTCCAAATTGCTCTACTATAAATAGAGGGCTATGCTGCAGAGATTAAGTACACACTCAAAAATCTCTCTCTGCGTTATATAAACTCTCCGACGATCTCCCATTTCCGATCACCTTCTCCGGCGATAACTCCCCGTCGCTCTCGTTCGTCGGTGCACGGTGCTACCGCCCTAGGCCTTGCACGAAGCGGTTTTATCCTGGGAGGAGATTGCCCACGTTTGCCTGTGCGGGAGGCGGGCAATACTACCTTAAGGAAAGCTCCGGCGACTCCGCTTTCCTTACCCTTCTTTCACAAACACCTCCGGCGTTCTTCCTCTCTTCATCCGACGTCTCTGTTAGCCGTTCAAGCGCCCATCTATTCGTGTTCCTGCATCCGTTCGAGCATCCGAAGACTCGAAGTTTATTTTCTTTTATTTTTGTTGTAAAATCCGAACGTTTTATAAGTTCGGATTATTTTATTTTTATTTTTCCCGCTGTAATATTCATCACGATCGACATCACAGGCGTGCGGGCCGGGGCCTTTCAATATCACCTACCGTGCTAGCTAGGAGGACTCTGAGTGCATGTTTCACATCTTTTTGTACTAATTCTTGTTTTTGTGCGAACAATTCCCTCTTTGAATTTGTCAGACACACGATTGTTTTCACAAACATTAGCTAACGTTGATAGATCCCATACGCCAAATAATATCCCATGTTATATTAGCAACCATTGGCGGCGAATTGCACGACTGGCGCACGCATCGTTGAATAAAGGTAGGGGACCCATTCAACACGTTCAGATCGTTGTTCAATTTGACGACTACGTAGTACACATGCTAGACCCACAGACGATGGCCGACAAGCTCGAGCACGATCTTCAGATGTGAGTCTTTGTAACCGCTTGTAATCAGTACCCAACAGTTAGTGATTACCCAATACACCTAGCCGGGGCTTGTTGCATTCCTTGGATCCATCAAACTTAAACTCGTCGAATTGTGATAAATATATATTACTCTCTCCATCCCATAAAAACCCTTCTTGTTTGAAAAAAAATACACATATCATCCTATTCTACTATAAATTAAACAAAGAGAAAAATTAGAAAATAACTCTAAAATTACTCATTTTAAGGGTACATCTTTTTTCAAAAAGAAGAGTTTTATGGGACGGAGAGAGTATGATTTACTACTCTTTTGGATGATTTCTTTTTATTATATTCTATTCTAACCATCTTAAATATTTTATTTTCATATTATATTCTTTTAATTTTTAAATTATTCATTTTTCCTAATGTTTTTCTCTTGTACTCTGTAATTTATTTGGGGCATATTTTTTTTAAGTTAGGACATTTTTCTCTGGTAATATCACTCCTACATCCATTAAAAAAATAAATCTCTGATCAGGTTCCAGGTGAATTTTTTCCACGCTTGCACCCACCTTTTAGTCATCATCAATTCATCATCATACTAACATCAAGGAACAAAAACATGGAGTGTTAAATTAATGTGATGGGTGAAGTGATGTGGTAGAATGGATACATGTGCCAATTCTAAAGCATGCAGTCTCCCTCTCTCAGGTCCCTCTTAAAAGGGCCGACATCCCTCCAAATCCACACGTCTCACCCTCCCCTTCACCACTTGTTTGGTTTCTCTACCCCACCCCACCCCCCATAAAATTAGTATTATTTGTGAGCCACGCTTAAAGATTGATAATTTTAAAATTCTGATTTAGATGAAAATAGTTATTTTTATGATTATTTAATAGAATGGATAAAAGAGAGAAATAACGACATTGAACTTTTTGAGTCATTATTTAAAGAATTTCAAGCTTTTTATGATAGATTATCGAAAGAAATAGCACCTCCTCAAACTCCCAAGGCCAAAAAAAAGTTTTAAAGGGATAGTCGGTGGTCTCTTGACAAAAACGGTAATAAGCGTAATTCTACTTCGAAAAGTTCAGGTGGTACAAGTATAAGTTTGCACAATGAACTTGCTATTTACCAAGGGGTGCCATGCGATTACGACAAAGACAACGACTTTGACATCCTTGAATGGTGGAAGCAGAATGAACACATGTTCCCATCTCTCAGAATGCTAGCCAGACAAATCTTATCCATGTTGGTTTTGACTCTAGCTGTGGAACAAGAACTCAGTTCTAGCGGCAACATTCTGACCGACTACTGAAGTTGTCTTAGCGCTGAATCGCTTGAGACACTAGTTTGCAACCGATATTAACTCTTGGCAAGACGTCAAGCTCAAGAGTCAGGGTACAACATTGATACCCAAAACTACATGGATTCAACCATAAAGGGAAGCAGTAGTTCCGAGGAATGACTTTGTATTTTTTAAAAAAATTATAATTAGTTTTTTTGGGACAGCGATATATAAACTCCTTCGAGGCTTTCTTTGCGGTTCTTTACCTCGTCACTTTTTTTGAACCGTTAGAATATTAAATGTAGTTGTTTTTCTACTATTCATTTTTCATCATTTAAACAACAATTACATTTTTAGATATTCTAATTCATAAAAAGTTATAAATTTCTTTTGCTTTTACAATTACACATTTATAAATTATCACTAAAAAATATTTTTTAAAAACTGAAGGCGAAACAAACTGGTCTGGGGTGGTGGTACCGGAACTGCCAGTGCGAGAACCGGCGACGGTAACGGTTCCATGGGGTGGTGGTACCGGAACCGTCGGAACCAGAATCGTACTAGGTCCACCCCTATTTGACCCTGTGAATAGTAAACAAACAATTTAATTTAGAACGGAAAGAATACAAAATCAGAGGTGACAAGACCATATTATTTTATCAAATAACTAACGAAAGTAGGCAAAGAAATTATTAAGGGGATGTTTCTCTGTGGTGGTGCTTATTGATTTATTATTGAAAAATACTCCGTAGTTTTTAACTTATAAGCTGCTTATAAGTCAAATATTCTTTCATAGAATTAAAATAACTTAAATGATAGATAAGTCACTTAGAAATATTTATAAATGGTTAGAAACAGTTTTATAAATAATCTTGTTAAAACAGAGAAACAAAAAACTAAAAAATACTAGTTAAGACCTACTCCATACTTATTTTTTCTAGTTTATAAACAACTTATAAGTCAACTTATAAGCACACAGAAATATGTCATCAGCTGACATATAAGTCAAAAAGTATTTATAAGTAATTTTGACGTGGCTTATAAGCACAGAGAAGCACCCAAAGTTTGACCGTGTGAATAGTAACTGAAAAGAACATTTTAGGATGGAGGGACTAATATTAGAGGTATCAAATAAATAAGGCAAATTTTTATGTGATCCAGGGTCCAAACTCATTTTATGCACTTTAATATATAAACACCACAAAAGATTTATAATTTTTGCAAAAAAAAAAGAAAAAGAATATTCACTTGTCAAGCCTATGAAAAATGTAAGAAGATCTACATTTCACATATACCTTAAAATAAGAACAATTCATCAAATAATACAACAGTTTTTTTGAAGGCCAATACAGCAGTTACTACTGACTAGTATGCATGTAAATCCCAAAATTTATCTCATGTCTATGAACTTGGCATACTTTGTACAAAGGAAAACTTCCCAAAATTTGCCCCAAAGAATTACGCTATCTGATCATATATTCCATGCCCTTTTACTTTTTTGCACATACATTAAGAAATCAACAATTTTTTTCAGAATTCACATCATGAATGTTCATACATCATGAAAAAGTCTCCTTATATGATCCACTGTAGCAGGAGTGAGTGTTACAGGACAACGTTTGTACTGCATGTTGCCAAGTAAAACACAGGTTCAAGTTAAACCATATTGAAACCTGTCTGTAAGAGTAACGTAATACGGAGTAAATGCCGCGAAGAGCAAGGTGTTTTTTTACCTGAGAGACATATTTAAATATGCAGGGATAACAAAAGACAAATCCAGAAACTGAGACTACTGAGGGGTTAACGCGTTTCTGAGAGCACAGAGGGCAAAGTGTCATGTTTGGGGGCAAAGGAATGCCATCTTTGTCAACCTGTTTAAAGAAGAAGCCAACTCACAGACAGATAAACAGAGATTGAATGAATAAAAACTCTTGAAAAGTTTTAATTAGCTTGTCAGTGATTATTAACCTTGGGGGCTGGTGGTGGCGGAGGAGGAGGATAAATGGTTGGAGCCGACATTCGCTCTTCAGCTGATTGATACCACCACTCCATCATCTGAGTTTATATATGCATAATAACAAGAGCAGATTGGATATGTAGAAAAAAGAATTTGAAAATGTACACAACAGTATATTTTGGAATTTTGATAGGAAGAGGTAAATGGAATGTACTTTAAAGAAAAATACTGCGGCAATTAGTCCGGTTTGAGCATAGTCGAGAGCAGCATATGCAAAGCCAAGCAATCCACCTTGTATTTTCTGAAATATTGTTGTGTGAGGTAATTTTTGCTTTAGAGAAATTGAAAATTGTCAATGAACAATGATGATTTGAGGC